GTCGTTGGTTGTCACCAGTTTTCATCGCCCGACTACGGGGACAAATTGTCCAAAGGACAAAAATTATCGATCCGTTGGTCGTAGGCGTAGGTAGCGGGTGCAGTGCACCTGCAGTCAGTGACTGTTGGTCAGTTGTGCTGGTCACAGAATCGTGTTTTGTTGCTTCTTGTTTGTAGACATAGAGTACATAGAGTCGTAATGTAAATGGGAGAGCTGGCGCCATGTTCTGCTCGATGAATTCCGAACCCGGTGTGCGCCGAGTTCGGGTCGCTTTTTCGATACATTTTCGATCCAAAATGGCGGTGTGGAATACGTGGTAATTCCTATCTCCTTTGTTGTTGTTGTTGTTGTTGTCATCGGATGGCCGGGTACCCGTGTATCGCAAACAATCGATTATGTATCGAAAAAGTGACCCGACGTCACACAGGAGTCTCGGAATTCGGGACATGAAAAATGCTTGAAAGTGGCGCCAGCTCTCCCAATTAAATTACGACTCTATGTACTCTATGTTTTTAGATCAGCTAAATATAACAAGATCAGTCTAAGCAGCAACTCTCTACGTTTAATATTAACTGAGATATCGCTGATTAACTGAGATTCATCTGCCATTTAAATCTATGGAAAAGGATCGATGAACAGGGTATTTGCAACGAACACCTTAATAATTGATTCTTAACCCTAACTTCTATATTGGGGAGATATCGATAGTCGATCATACACGCCTCGCCACAGGTTCATTTCTCTCTTTACTCCGTGTCTCCTATTCTTGCGAGTTCGCCTTCAATAACCGTGATGGCAATTTGCAAGGCTTGGATGCTCGGATAATTGCGCGCTGTAGTTTCGTCACTTTCGCTCTGCCTGGGCAAAGATCACGCAATGAGTGCATGTCTCTCATACCGTAATGGCAAAGTTAGCGATTTTCCCTCAGTCTGGCAAGGAACTTTCTGAAATATCCTGCCTTTTTTGCTCTTACTTAATTCTTAGGTGTTGTTACCTCATCATGATGCCAAACATCGTGTTAAAGGCTTTTTTTTCCCAACTTGTTTTGCTGTTATAAATGATCTGTGTATGCACAAAAAGCTTCCATGCACAAATGAAGGAAATAAAAAAGAACTATGTGTTAGGCATTTACGCTGTCTTTAGGTCATTTTAATTTAATTCATCTGCATTTCTTTCTTTTTAGCATAATTGCGTCTAAATCCGACTCGTCTCTTCTGATTTAGCGTTGCCACGCCAGGTATAATAATTGAGTTTTTGTCATTGAAGAGTGTTCACTGTATCCTCCATTGTATCGCTCTGCTCATGTATGGGCGTAACTCAGTTTTTACATTAGCCTTATTTTCCATAGAACTTATTGCTTTCCAGGGTTCACGAGACAATGGAGAAATGTGCACGAACGTTATAAGAGTGGCGATTTGAAGTGCCCCAGGATCGAATGTGTATTTTTGTACCGTTTGGCGGCTGCCCCTTGGACTAGTGTGAGGTTGTAGGCACTTGATTGGTGATTTGTTTGTACCAGATTGTCGAGTTTGTCGAAAGGCCGATAAACTCGAACAGACAAAAGGTAAGCATGCTCTGTGAACTTTCGGAGACTCAGACCACCAAGACTCGTGTTCTTTAAATTTACCGCTGAAAAATATTCCTCAAAGTTAATACTTCCACTTAAAATTAGCGTGGAAAATAATGACTCATATATGGACGTATTTATGCTAAAAGGAACTATGTGCACAGGGATTGCATGTAATATGGTTCTCTTTTCGTTATGTGTAACTCCCTTAGAAGCGAGGGTCGGTTCGATTTTTAGACATATGCACCCTATATGGACCTCTTGAGAGACCTTTAAACATATTTCTTCCTTTTCAGAATGACTATTGATTTGGACATACCATTGCACATCTCGGGCAAACATAACCTTAATTTATCTCAAAATTCAAATACAAGAGACATCCTAAGTATGAACGCGATACAACTATTCTCGCGAGATGGATGTCCACATTGCATATGGAAAGTGTTAGACGCAATGGGGCGAGCCGTGAACTCGCAATGCTCTGCTCTATGCTACTAACTTGAAGCACCATTACGAATAAGACAAAGGCAAACAAACACAACATGGAAATAAAGCGAAGGAAAGGATGCGCGTTAACGACGGCGCAGAGATACAACTATTCGTACTTGATGGACGTCCGTGCTGTATCTGAAAAATTGAAGGCGCGATGACGCGAAAGGTGAGCTCTCAATGCTCTGCTCTATGCTACTAACTTGAAGCACCATTACGAATAAGACAAAGGCAAACAAACACAACATGGAAATAAAGCGAAGGAAAGGATGCGCGTTAACGACGGCGCATAGATACAACTATTCGTACTTGATGGACGTCCGTGCTGTATCTGAAAAATTGAAGGCGCGATGACGCGAAAGGTGAGCTCTCAATGCTCTGCTATGTGCTGTTCATGAGGTGTCGCTCAGATTCGGGAGAAAAGTTAAAAAAAGAGGTCCGAACACGTCTCTCCTACCTTCGGCTGTGTTACACACGTATAGTGCTTGAAGCACCATTACGAATAATACTAACGGAAACAAACACAATATGGAAATAGAGGCAGGGAAAGGATGCGCTCTAACGACGGCGCAGAGATACAACTATTCGTACTCGATGGGCGTCCGTGCTGCATCTGAAAAATTGAGGGCGCGATGACGCGAAGTGTGAGCTCTCAATGCTCTGCTATATGCTGTTCATGAGGTGTCGCTCAGATTCGGGAGAAAAGTTAAAAAAGAGGTCCGTATAAGTCTTTCCTGTCTTCGGCTGTGTTGATACTCGTTCTTCCTCCTTCTTTCAGGTTCTTGTCTGATTCTTTTTAGGATGGATTTGCAGACCCACGTCTTAAGCTCGTATAAACCGCAGCACTGGCTCCATTATTTTGGAAATAATGGTGCTTGGACGCGTCTAGTGGCTTTAATTTTTCATGTTTTCTTTAATTTCAGAAGTCTGTCGGTTGCTTCAATACTTTCAACTGTGCAATTTTTACTCAGTACGATAAATAAATTTTGAAACTGAAAACAATTTTGAGGTCTGCGCCCTCAGATGCGAGCAAGTCCGACCCTGAGCCGGAGATTTGGAACCTGGGGCATGTCATTTGAGTAAAAATCAAAATCAAAACAAAATTGTGTTGTTGAAAACATCAAGTTTCATTTCCCCTCGATATGGGGGCATTTATAATATTCGATCACAAGCTCTTAGCTCTGTTTGTCTCAAAATTGGACCAGTAAAAATCCCCATAAAACGGAGATAGCCAGCAACTTGCGATTTGCGCCAATTTTTTTTCTAGCTCTTTTTGACAGTGCATTACACGTTGGGAAATGCCATTCAGATTAAAGTTAGGGGGCAATAGTTAGGGCAAAATATTTACCAGTCAAACAGAAGAAAAATTAACCAATTTATTCAGATAATGTATTTATTTTGTAGAAGATCATTAATCCTTTTCCTTGACGTGTTCAGATACACTAGATTCCAATTGAGTTCCTTCTACATTTAATTTCAAAGACTTTCATAAGTTCCGGAGAAAATGTAATTTTATCTGAAAAGATATGGCAACGTCCAAACGCTAATACGACGTTTTCCTCAGGGTGGCAAATCGTCGTTCCCAGACGAGAGAACGTAACTGAATATCAACATTGCAAAATTCTCTCTCGTAAATTGCATTTACCAGAGCTTTTTTTAGCTTTTCTATCTGAAAATTTTACTGATTTCTCATTTGCTTATGCGTAAAAAGCAGAACAATTCCGGACAAAAATTTCACTGTCATACTTTTATAAAGAATTGGATTGTCTAAGTCAATTTTGCAACCTTGGAATGGCGTCAGATTCCTTCCCCTGTAAAACTAAGAGTCTAGTGCTGTGAAATCGCACTTTAAACCCAAGTAGAATTTTTCAACGGAAAAATTGCGATATTTTGAAACGAAGTTGCGATTTTTTTACGATTTCTTCGCGATAAAATTGTATTTATTTATTATAACTTTCGTACAAGAGAGCCCCATTATTAGGGCTATGGCACAGGTCAAAAAACACCATACAATAATTAAAAATATAAATTACAACTGTTACATTAGGTGGTGGTTAGTCGAACGTTACGCAACAGCTGAATTTAGAAACTGAATTTAGGGTGGAAACTGCTAGGATCATCGACATCTCAGCGATTATCCCCGATCATACCGCAATTTTATCACTATAAAATCGCGTTCGATAAAATTGAAATTTTTTATAAATTTTTTACAATTTTTTGTTCGATTATATTACGATTAATCGCATTCGAAAAAATCAGGATATGAGTGAAATTCTATTCAATAAAATGGCAATTTATGGCAATATTTTATCTGATAATATTGCAATAATCGACGTGGATAAAATGGCAATGCTTCTCTGATGAAATCGTAACTAATAGCGATCACCGCAAACTTAGGTCTCAGCTACTGCCATGCTAAGGAACAACGCCGTATGAACCTTCAGGCGTTGCAAAATTTCCTTTGATAAAGTTCAAATTTACTGTGGAAGTTGAGAATATCCCTCTTCGAATTTCTCGGCCAAAATTGTTCGCACTTTAATCTGACACACCTAAAAATGTTGAGGAAAAATTTTGCCAATTTCAAGGCAAAATATCCAAAATGAACACTTTTTTGAAGGAAATTTAGCAACTCTCGAATGTCTACGGCGTTTTTCCTTAGCACGGCAGTAATGGCGATCACTGCTAAAGGGTCTCAGCTAGGAGCAAGGACGGAAAGGTCCACGACTCCACGGTATGGTTGTGGTGGGGAAGAAGAGGAGGGTCAAAGTCCATGGCGCGGGTGGACTCAATATTGGACTTGGGAAGGTGGACGCACACGGCACATTTGGGCTATACCAGAGGCGGGCCCTGCGAAGATGGCGCGGCGGCGGTCGTGAAACTGACGTCGGGTTGGTCGGGCCCTGCAGGGTTAAGAAGGGTTAAGGCGACGCTCACCGTCTGTGTCGTCCTATATCTGCGTGCCTACTTCTGCCACAGTATCTCCGATTAAACCTAAACTAATAAAAGCCGCCCGAGATAGTAAGGCACATTATCTCCTTGAATGACAATCTAGTAGATCCGTCCGGCCCATCTTATTGTCATGTTCTCCCGCTACCCGTCATGGCCGCGGGCTACCGTCACGGCCTTTTTCGCGCATTTTTGACATTTTCCCCCGTCGTCTTTTGAGTTTTTCGCGGATCCGTGACGCAGCACATCCGTGCCTGGAAGCTTCTTTCAGTTTTCCTCGAGTTTAGTTCGATTTTTAGTAGTTTTCACAATGAAGAAAGAAGTGAAGGAGAAATCTGGCGATCCCGGCTGGGTGGAGTTTTGCCAAAGGATGAACATAAATCCCAACCTGGTCATGTTGAAAGTTACGCTCTTTGTCATGTACGGAGGTAAGAACTACGATTTTTTTTTCGATTTTGAAAGTTTTGCCACTCCTCACAGCGTTGCGTATGTCTGAGGGCCAACTTACCCTCCGGTTTGGTTAGTTTTTGTCTCCTAACCCGACAGTATTCGGCTGCCGAAAGGTCTCTCCGGAAAAAAAATTAAGTTTTTTTTTATGTTAATCTCCATTCCTTTTTGCAATTTGTCCACGTACTCCACAAACTTCGATGTTTACCTTTATGTCGACTCAAAGTGTGATTGCTGTCAAGTGTTGTTTATCACGAGAGGACATATTCATCAGAATAGGATTGACAGATATGCAACGCTTGTATACCTACGTTACAAAAAAAAAGATGAAGCCTGACTGTAAATCTGTTTCGCAATTTCAATATGCGCTGTGATTTTTATGGAAAAGTCTAAGAATATATGAATGATGATTAGATAGTGATTTGGATGTGCATTCTCAATTATACTTTAATGGCAAACTCATTATTACAGGAGTGCTCGAGTTTTACTGGGACATATTTATATTATAAGGAATTATGAGCATATGAATAAAATGAAAAAAATGGCTCTACATGAAATATGCACAAACCCCTTATAAACGTAAATCTTTTTAGTATAAATGCGTCCACATCAGTCAGTTCAGTCTTGTTTCTACATGAGCATGCTGACAATGAGATGCCTATATTTATTTTTAATATTAAAAGAAAAGAAAAGGATGTGTAGTTTAGTGTTCTGTCTCAGTGTTAAGAGCTAATCTTTATTTAGACGATCAAAGTTTTCTCATTGCGGATGATTCAAAAGGCAAAACAAAAAATAAATAAATAAATAAAATCAGCCAAATCAGAATTTGTTCGTATAGCTTTATTGCAATTCAAAATAAGTTCAGTTTGATAGATAGTTAGTTAGTTAATTAAATTACGGCGACCAGCAACTTGGTTGTTTACGTCAAAGACTAGGAATTCACCTTAAATTTTGAGATTTACTTGTTTAAGGAGCTTTAAAATTTCGGTAGTTACTTTTGGATCATCAGAGCTTAAAGGATAGTTGTTTTAATAAAAGGGTGCTTGTGCCAGGTTTCAATATATTTTTTCACAAATAAGAGGAGTTTTTACTGATTTTACTAAATTTTACTGATTGACGCGATACAAAAGGTCGAAATTGGTATTTCAACCCTACAAAGTTTTATTAGAGTGCTTGTTTATTCCATTTTAATGCACATGAGGGCTTTGTATACCATCCGGACTACAACGCCTCAAAGTGAGGATATCAACGTATTTATCCCTGTCAAATATGATCCGAATTTGAACATGGCAGTCATTATCATAGCAATGGAATAGCATCAGAATAGCATAGCATAGCATAGCAAAGAATTTTACAGAAGCTAAACACATGAGATAGAGTTAAGGTGCTTAATTTTCCATTTTCGAGAGCGGAAAATAAAAGACCCCGAAGAAGAACGGACGATTCATTTTTTTGGGAGTGGACAGGTCGAAGGGGGAGGGGATTTCATTTCCGTGCCATACGTATGCAAGAAATCACAAAAAAATCAAAACTGATAGTCTTACAAATTGTAATCCACAATTCCTTGTGTTTTATTTGATATTTAAAACACATGGAGAAGGTGGCATGAAATAAAGGCATGAGAACCAGAGGGATTAAATTACACTGCAACACAGTAAGGTCTCTCTTACGTTTTTTTTACTCAAGAACGGTTGGGGAACTTTCCTTTAAAAGCTTTAATGAACTCCTGAGGGGTTTCACTGATAATCCTTGAACTTTTTTATTTAAAATCATTACATTAAAAAATTGGTCAAGGGAAACTTTTTCACGTTGCGGTGCAATTAAACCCGTCTACTTCTCACCTCCAAAGGGACGAATCAATCATTTTGTCTGGGGCCCCCGAATATAACAATAGCCGTGGGCCCCTAAAAATATTTTTAAAAAACTTACAGTATGAATTACCCTTATGAATCCGGACACCGGACGGATCCCGTTTTCAGGAAAGTTTGCCTTTCCCAAATAATCGCAACAGATATATCGTTTGGGTAGGCCAGAGGCGAATAGATGCTCATCTCCCCCACTTTATTTAAAAGTTGACCATTGTCTTTGGAAATTTTGGTCAAGTTTGATCGATAGTCCCTTCAGATTTTAAAAAGTCTTGCCTCTCTCCAAGCAAATTTCGCAACTCTGAAAGCAAATTCCCTCCTCTCAGCAATTTTTGCCCCCTCCCACTCTCCTTAAGATTTGCCTAAATAATAACGCTATAGAATTCCAACACCCTTTTTATTCATACTCCATTTCCATTAGTTTCAATTCATTCTAAACTGGGATTAGATACAGATCATGAAACGATCGTTAATACAGAGTTGATTATCTCGGCGAAATATTGCCGAAAACAAATATCGTAAAATTCTCATTCTAGGTCACGATGCATGCATTACCGAATACCTATTTTGTCAAGTCTCATATTTCTATGGGATCATCGGACGAATAGACTGGATCCTCCGCAGGAGACAAAAAAATACTTTTCAATTAATAATCGCCAAGTTATAGTTTACAGTGGCTCCATTTTGACTCAATAAGCCGATGGTCAAGGGGTCAGTGGCGTGGCGTGCTTTGCGATATATCGATTGATCTGCCATTTAAACCTTTGGAAAAGGATCAATAGATAGAGTGTTTGCGACGAACACCTTCATAATAGATTCTATATTACAGCTTCAAATGGAGGAAATATCGATAATCGATGCCTCGTGCCTCGCCAATGCAAGGGGTGAGTGCAGTTGGTGAGCTGCCGGTTTCAAAACAGTGCAAAGTCCACCCTTGGCCTTGCTCTCGCTCGAAGAGTATCAAAATAGAATGCGTTGGTGATAAAGGTATTCGGAAAAATACATATCTTGAGGCACTGACAAACGACATAAATACCACTCCGCTTCGACTTTTCGAGTTTGACCACCCTCATTTACTGAGCCGCACCGTTGACCTTCGAGCTTAAGAACGTTCTGAATGGTATTAGAAATCAGCATTGCACATTGGCGGATCCAGATAATCGGCAACATTGTCTTCCCTCCATTTAAACCTATGGAATTATATCGATTCTTGGAGGGGCCAGGTGATCCGACAAGAATCGATCATTTAGCGTAGGTTTAAATGGAGAAAATTCGGTGTTGCCAAATTGCTGGATCCGACTCTAGCATTGCTTCAATTTTGCGAAAATTTGACATCGGTTGAAACGATAAAATGCTTACCGTGCTCTTGCCTGAGCGATCATAAAGCCAAGACTGAAGACGCTTTACACCAAGTGAAAGAGTGAAACAAAATTTCAGTTAATTTGTGGGGCGGGGGGTAGAAAATTAAGTAATTCGAGCCTTCGGTTTACTCTAAGGGTTTCCCGTATTTTCCATATTTTTCTTCGCAAATAGTACCAAAATCAACACAGAATTTGGACTGATCTGTTTTTCAACTCCTCTCTCATCAGAAAGCAAATATAATTATTTTCCGAGTGCTAATAAATTAAAAGATACCACAGGAGAAAGAGTTGAGTCTAATTTTTAAAAATATCGAAATTCAGTGTAGTGGCGTGCTTTGAGATATATGGATTGATCTGCCATTTGAACCTACCGAAGAGGATCGATAAACAGGGTGTTCGCAGCGACCACTTTCATAATCGATTCTTTACTAAAGTTTCAAATGGGGAAATATCGATAATAATCGACCATTAACGCCTCGCCACTGGAAATTTTAGTTATTTCGCCTGCACTGGTCTCTGAGGTTACCATGTGGAAAATGTGCCGTGAAGCTCACTTTCTCTTTTCAATGTGTAAAGTTCACCGATGTCATAAAGTGGATGAAACCAGAAAGCTTAAACTCGAGAAGAGAGAAAGTCAAATAGCACCCCAATAGCACTAATGGATAGTGCCGAGAGTCGCCCCAAAAGCGCACACCCCTAAACAAAAGAAAACTTGAGAAGAAACATACACATGATTTTTTTGAACGCCTTAACTAGGATTTAATGCGAGAAACTTTAGGCCGGCTTCGAAGATTTTTCTTTGAAAATTTCGCACTGAAACGTCAAAAAGCATTTTCTCAAAAGAGGGAAAATCCAAACACTGGCCATTGGCGAATCCAGCAAATTGGCAACATTGCCTTTTCTCCACTTAAACCTATAGAAATGTATCGATTTTTAGAGGGGCCAGGTGCTCCGGCAAGAATCGAATATTTAACATAGCCTCAAGTGGTGGAAATCCAGTGTTACTGAATTCATGGATCCACCTCTGCACTGGACGACTCGTTCATGCACGTTAAAAAAAACTCTACGAATCTTGCTCGGATACCTCAAGTTTTGTGATTTCAAGGACCGGCAACGTTGCAATATATTCGAACGAACAATGTATTTTTCGGAAAATTACCAACATCGCGATAAAAATCTGTATTAGCTTACTTCATTGGCACAGCCACAACATGTGCCTCTAAAAAGCAAAGCATTCTCAGTCAGCATCACATGCGCTAAACAATGAGCGAATTTCAATACAACGCCTGGATACAACTATTCGAGCTCTACGGATGCGCACGTTGCATATGCACGAATATGAAGGAGTTTTCATTCTCAAGGCACTCACCACTCAACACTTCACTCGCGCGTCGGGGCATAGCGGCGCGGCGGGCTATATTGCGATAATACGAAATGAGAGAGCGCCTTCAATTCTTCGTTTATGCTATGCAGGGATCTCTCAGACAAGAACAGTTGCTCTACGAATCATGCTCAGCACATATTATATCAAAACTGAAGTTTAAAATACCCTCACAGCCTACGCATGTGTTTAAACTATTGTGCGTAATGAGCCGTCATATTTTAAATTGAAAGCTAATCATCAGTAAGCAACTTTTATAAGAAAACCGATGGAACCTTGTTTAAATTTCTCCGATCTGTCGAGGATATAAAATTCAAAATGTCCGTATCGTATCATATCATATTGAAATAGGACGGCACGATTTCCGGGAAATCGCGTGTCCTTTTGGCGCAGCGTTCGGCGCCGTCTCGGCATCGTTCATGCGTCAGCGGCCGCGGTTTTCCGGACTGAAGTTTGGGCGAACGTGCGGTCTCGGGGCCAGCTTTTCAGGGTCAGAGTTAAGCTGGGTAGGCTGAAGCTCTGGTTCTGGGCAGTTGGCTACGTGAACGCAGAGAGGCATCACCGAGGTCCAGCGCCCTTAGTGTCGGTAGGGCCCACTAAGTGTAGTTTAGGTGTTTTGTGCAGTGGTAAGAAGTCTGGGCCGCCAGTCAGTGTTTGTGGCATCGGTTGTTTTGTTTTAGTAAAAGTGTGTTAGATGTGTACACCCTGATACATTCTTATTCCCCCGTTTCTTCCATCCTCGAGCTACGCTACGCCCCCCAAGCAAGGCGGTTCGTGTGGGGACCATTGACCCATTTAACCCCTGGGTCTATTACAATATCATATCAAAGCTTTCTCATTTACTCTTCCTACTAGGCGCCGTTGCGCCGCGGATGCGGTTGTGGGTGGCGAGTGCCCAGCCAGTGAAAACTCCTTCATTTTCTTGCATACGCAACCTGGACATCCAGGAAGCTGGAATAGTTGCATCCAGGTATTATAATGAAATTCGTTCAGTGTTCGCTGCATGCAATACTACTTGAAGATGCTTTTTTGTCATATTCGTGTCATGGTAGTAAGATGCGTCCAAGTGTTTCTCTTCATCGAAATTTCTCGTGTTTAATGAGTCATTAATTACTTGATGTATGATTTCATGATGGCAAAATTGTGCCTACTTTACACGATATACTCTACACAGATTTAGGACTAGATCTGTCTAGTTTTTAACCCCGCATGAGAGACTGATAGTCTTCACGCTTTCCTCTTACTCCCCTTTCCTCTCCAATCACAAATGCAATTAGGGAGGATACATATACTCCTTAACTCTCCACAAGTAGCAGGGATCGCGATAAGTTGCGATTTGAGCGGAGAATGTATCGCGATTTTATTTTTCGATTTATCGGATTGAAAATTGCGATGAATTTCGATTTCATGGCTTAAATTTGTAATTAAATCGTGATTTCATCGACAGTGATTCATCGAAATAGTATCACACAAAAATCGTTGTAAGTTAAGATAAAATTTCGATTTGACCGACCGAGATTTTATGGGGATAAAATTGCAACAAGATTGAGCATAATCACTCAGATGTTGATGATCCTAGCAATTTCATCGCCAAAAAATCTTTGGACAATCGCGACATCAAAATATCGCAATTTTTTTGTTAAAAAATGCTTCTTGGGTCCATGAAAAAATTTCTCTCCACCCTCTGACCATCCTCTTTCTCCCCACTCTGACACCTTTCTTTCTCTCATCTAAGAGTTCAAGCATCTTTTTATCAAATTTTAAATAAATCCACTTCAAAAAAAAGAAAGAAAGAAGAAATAACACATGTTTATCGAAATCAAGTCTTGACGGGCGGTTTCCTCAGAGGAAAATCTTTAAAATTCGTCGGTACATAGGTACTCACGCTGTGCAAGCTTGAGACTGAACAAGCAGGCTTACACAAAACATTGTGTAATGTTTGTCAACCTATGATAAATGGCTTTAAATATGGGATCGAACCGAAGCCGGGGGATTTTGATTCTGTTTACTCTCAGATAATGTTTCACTCAGGTCATGAAATCTGATGTGTTTAATTCCTCATAACATTACAAGACTCTATGACTTTGAGCATGTATGCAATCACGGTTGGAGCGTATTCTGTACTTCAAGAGTAAAATCAATCCAATTGAGCGGATTTGTCACGACGTTAAGAAGAGATGAAATAGCTCACGATTATTTACATTCAGTAGTTAATTTCAGATTTTCGATAAAATGGACGGGTTGCAGTTGTCTTAAATTTTGTAAATTTCATGTTTCAAATGAAATTAATAACAGAACTGAGCACAAGGATACCCTCTGTTTCTAAATTGAACAATTATTTCGTCACCTTCCAGGCAAAGTATCACAAGCGCCATGCGACGTTTAAAAATTTCCGCCGCCATTTTATTTCTTTACTGAGAAATTGTGGGTTGAATCTGTTTGGAAATTTCACTAAATTTTATCGGCAGCACAAGAAAATTCAGTGAAATTTTCGGACAGCTTCGTTGAACAATTTCTCTGTAAAAAAATAAAATGGCGGCGGAAATTTTTAAACGTCGCATGGAGCTTGTGATACTTTGCCTGGAAGGTGACGATTTGGAGAACCTATGGCAAAATAACCTAATCTGTTATGATACATATGTTTAAATAACCTAATCTGTTATTTAAACATACGTTTAAATAACCTAATCTGTTATGATACATACGTTTAAATAACCTAATCTGTTATGATACATACGTTTAAATAACCTAATCTGTTATGATACATAGGTTTAAATAACTTATCTGTTATGATACATACGTTTAAATAACCTAATCTGTTATGATACATATGTTTAAATAACCTAATCTGTTATGATACATATGTTTAAATAACCTAATCTGTTATGATACATATCGACGGTGAAACTACCAAACCACGTATCTCGGTTTGCGACGTCGCAGACTTCCTGTCATACTTTATTTTTTAAATGAAAAACTACTTAACGTCCAGTCTTGAAAATTTCTGTGATTTTTCCGCTTCGTGCGGAAAAAATTCTGTGAAAATTTCAAGGAATGGTATTGATTTGGTTTACTTCAAAAAAAATAATATGTGAGCGTAGATTTTTAAACCCCGCAAACGAGATACGTGGTTTGGTAGTTTCACCGTCGATATGTTTAAATGTGAAATGCCGCCAGATGACGTCACAAGGCGGCACATTTCCTCCCTTTTAGACCCATTTTTCTACAATGTCCCATTCAAGGAGAAAATTATGAAAAATACTGCGAACTCTCATAGATGAAGCAATAACATTTTTTGGCACAAATTCTCCAATTAATGTATTGGTTTTATCATTACTTTCTGCAAATTGAAAAGGAACCTAGTTAATTTTTCCAAGAAAACTCTAAGAAAAGGAATGCATCAAACAGCTCTCTAGGTACATTATTTAAGCAATCGACGAAACAGATGAGCAACTCAATTCCCCTTCACTTTGGAGGCTACAAAATTGAGTCATTTGGGAGTCAAAAGTATTTCATCGATCGCTTTGATTTCCGAATACGTGCGATGTGAATGAGTCTCGAAACGAATATTTATTTTGAGTTCAAACAATTTGGCGATCGCGTCCTTCTCAGAGAAACGGTTCAATTATTATTGTTGATTGGCGCATTAGATGTCTTGCTGAGAACTTGCATGATGGACCTGATGTCCAGGGATTGTCGCTTTACAAAAATTAACAATTTGCTTGCTTCGGAATAAAAATTTGGTAGCTCTCTTTGTAAAATGCCACTGAAAAAAAACTTCAGTTACAAAGACTGAGCCTCAGTTCACATGGAACACTGGGGATTTTGGTTCAGGTAACTGGAGTTTTCTGAAGCAAACTCCGGTCAGAAGTCTTCAGTAAATTAATAATATAAGCCTTAGCATTCTTAACGAAAACTTCAGCCACTTAAACTGAAGTTTGGTGCTCATAACCGCGAATTGCGGTTATAAGGTGGACTGGAAACCAGTTTTCTATCGAAGCGACTTTTCCCCTCCATTTACATGTATTATAGCAAATGTATCTGAGGAGGAGAAAAATTGACGAATTTTAATTCACTCCTAATTTTATGTTTCAGCCAGCGCATCTCTAGTCCCTTTCTTAACGATTCACATGCAGAGTATCGGCCTTACCGTTGAAGAAATTGCGGTTGTTTACTTAGCTTTGCCTTTAACTACGTTCCTAGCACCTCCTGTCACAGGTAGTATTCACCTGAATTTTTCTTTTTTAATGTATTCAAACATTTTTTACCTTTTTTAATGTATTTAAACATGTTTTAATGCACGCAAAATATATTAATAATACTCCGCAGCATTTTTTATAATATATCGTACATTTTTAAATTGAGATCTGCTAATCTAAGTCCTACCTCAACACAGCTTATTTTATACACGACAATAAATTATATACAAGTTTGCGTATTCTTACTTCTAACATATTAAAAGTCTGCAATTTGAACCACTTTCATAACACTTTTCATAACCACTTTCTTCACCTGCATACCACGTGAGTAGCATGAAGTTGAATCCGAGTTTGCAATAGAGTATAACCTCGTCTTTTGAAATCTTTTTAAATCTATAGATCTAATGTAAATAATGTTAAAATGTACTCATCAAATTCAAAATATTGCTCATGTGTGGGATAATTAACCTAAAATATAGCCAATAGTATATCATGACCAGAATTATACAGATCAAGAACTACACAGATTTGGGTCACGTGATCCATTATGAATATTTTCATTGTCCACATAATTAATGCTTCAAAATTTTGTTTGTTGGAAGGATTTTTGGTGGATAAATTTGGGCATTATAAACCGGTGCTAATAATCTCACTAGTTCTTAACGTTGTCTTTCATCACGCTTTGATGCTGATTCCCCAGATGGAAACACCAGGAGAGATGCCGTCCGCTTACGTGATGAGACATCCAACTACCGGTAAAGTTGAGGTGAATTTTTCACAGTTTCATCATTTTTACGATTTTTTTATAGTTTCATGACTTTTTATGAATAGACCTTTTGCAAAAAAAATTGTATTGCTTGCATCGAAATAACTTCGCACAGTTTCGTCATTTTTACGAGTTTTTTTACAGTTTCATGACTTTTTATAAATAGACCTGTTACACAATTTTTTTTTTTTGCTTGTATCGAAATAACTACGGATCTTGATGCCCGGAAAGGGGAGAGAAGGCGGAAGAAGGCGGCGTGGACGTACAGTAAAAGGTTGGCGGGAGGGAGTGGAGGGGGAGATCAGACGGTGTAATCTGCCCGATGATTTGTGGGAGGATCGATTCCGATGGCGATTTGGAGTCACAGAGCGCTCTAGTGCGCTGTGTTAGCGGCTTGATTTGTATGTATCTTGATGTCAAAGGAATTTTTCTGGGGTTTTTTTTTACCACCGGAAACCCCCAAAACATCAACTTAAAGCGCCCCAAAATTCGGGGTTTCCGAACGGTCTTTTTTACGCGGGAACGGATCCGATAATTTCGCGACGTCACAGTGCTTGACAAACCTGGTCTCTTCATCGTTTACAATGTATTCCTCCGTAAGGAACCAGGAGCCGCTTGAAGAGGAGACCTGCGGGTCGATTGTTGAATCGTTATCGAATGATGCTGATCGATAAATCCCTATCTTAACAATGTTACATATCGATCAAGGTCATTCGATAACGATTCAACAATCGAGGAGCAGGTTTGTCATACACTGGGACGTCACGAGTGTACCGGATCCGTTCCCGCCTAAAAGTGACTGTTTTAAATGGGTTGGTTCCTAAAATAGCTTTTTTGAGCTTGGGAGATGATTTCAATATTTTCCAACAGCGGCATCGTCCTTTTCATAAAATTTGCCTCTGGGATCAGTCATCAATTCACAAATCTCCGTACCTTGCGACAGGTCTATTACATGTAGTTTCATCGTTAAATGCGATGTTTTCATGTTTACGATAAAATTGAAATGATTCGATCTTCGCACGTGGAGGTGCATCCCACCTTGACCATGTTATAAGTCGAACGATCGGTGAAAAGGAGACTTTGCAGGTGTCTGGAATTTTGTGAATTTTGTGTTTAAAATGACACTACTACGAAAACCGAGCATGGGAATATGCTTGGTTTCTAAATTGAACAACTATTGGAGGAAATACTTGGGTGAAAATGGGAAATGCACTAGATCACGTCACAAGGCGGCATATTTTCCCCTTTTTATATATATTTTTCTACAATTTCCCATTTCAGAAAACAATCATGAAAAACACTGCGAACGCAGCTCATCAAACACTATCCGATGAAGCAATAAACATTTCGTGAGCAAATCCTCCAATGTATGTATAAGGAATTGATGAACTGAAGGTAGGATAGTAACCAATCCTCCAATGTATGTATCAGGAATTGATGAAGTAAATGTAGGATAGTAACCAATCATGCTATGTGCTACCGCGGTGGATGACGTCATACCCCGCCCCGTGTTTCTTGGAGGGCAGCAATTGATTTTCGATATTGCCTCATTTGAAGCTGTGGAAAAAAATCGATTATTATAAGGTGTTCGTTGCGAACACTCTGTTTATCGATCCTTTTCTATAGGCTTAAATGGACGTATTTCTGCCAAACGGAACTATGTGCAATAAGACATGAGCCCTGAAATTCATAAGAATGCATGCATAACAGGGCTCACTTCATAATGCACATAGTTCCGTTTTGTAGAAATACGTCCAAATGGCAGCTCATTCGATATCGCAAAGCACGCCACGCCGCTGGCGGGCAGTAAATTCGTCAACTCTGATACGTTGAAGTATGGAAGTAGGGATTTTAAGATTTTAGCCATTGATATATTCCTTAAATTTGCCTATGGTTTTCAGGTGTGGTGGAGTCCATGCCCGAGTCGGGAGTGCCCCGAAGAGGAAGAACTTAACATGGTTTTGGATGATTGCATCGACTATTGCAGCGTCAAACCGCCCGAAAGCACGCCCCCTCCCTCCTGGTTCAAAGGAATCGAAAAAAGTATTGCATACAGGCCGCCGACGCTTCTTGGTCACTCGGTAAGCACCATATTCAATGTTTTCTTCTTTTTTAGTCATATGAATCGTACTCGATACATCAAACAGGGGAGATTGTATCGAAATCGATGTTAGGAATCATCGAAATATTGTTAGGAATTTTCTCATTTTTACCTTTTCCTACTTAAATCCTGAAATTTCCCTTCGAGGTTATTATGGTCTAGTGTTTTCAACCAAACGATACATCCAACTACTATCGAATACGGTCTATTGAAAAGACATTCGGTTTAAGGCTAAAAATTAAATGCGACGTTACCCAAGTAGGAGTGATCGCGATTGGTTGCGATTTGATCAGAGGAAGTATCGCAATTTTACGAACGTCGATTTTTTGCAATAAAATCGGATACAAAATTGCGATACATGTCGATTTCATCGCATAAATGTGTAATAGAATTGCGATTTATTCGACGGCGATTCATTGCAATATTATCGAAAGAAACGGGAGGAATTGGAATAAAATTTCGATGTTATGGAACGCGGTTCTTTAGAGATGAAATTGCGACAAGATTGGGGATCATCGCTTAGATTTTGATGCTCCTAGAGATCTTTATCACCAAAAAATTGTAAAAGAACGCTATTTAATTTTAAATATCGCGATTTTCCCGCTGCTGCTTGGGAACGTGGCCCAATAGAAATCAGAGCAAATTTTGTTAAACTAAAAATTGTAATTATTCAGGAGCCAAAAAAAAAAAAAAAAAAAAAAAAAAAATTAATAAATGGGACTATCTCTTCTGGAAGTAATTAATACCTTACCGGTCCCAAAACCATGACTCGGTATGTTCATAGACTAAGCTCTCCGAGTGTGACAGGTGCCTAATTGATTCAGCTGCAATTTTCGAACATCCGTGCTTCTTTCGCCCTGACCAGAGCACTGTAGAGGCTTTAGATTCGGAGGTTGACATCTGAGTCGACTGACGATAAGTGCAGGGCTGAATCGAGCCTCACGAACAGCTTGCTTCAACCACAGGGACAACGTTGTCAAACCGCCCATTCTTAAGCATCTTAACACATGAATCGGCCGTTGTTAAAACGTAAGATCATTCACAGATAAGCTACGCTATCCGTGAGAGTGTCCGTAGAGTGTGATATCGAATTGGATGCAACAGTGACATTACTTACCACTTTCAATGTCACTAATTAAAATAAATGGATGTAAATCGCATTTCCGAAACGTGATACTGATAGCGTCTATATTTTAGGGTTAATCAGGTGATGAACATGCTCGATTTTAAAACAACGGTCGAGTCACATGCAAATCACCTACACCTATAAAGAAAACTTGAAGAAAAAATCGGGTGTGATAGGATTTCTGGAACTCATTAAATGTTGTATTAGATACTCGATGATGATCTCGGATAGCCACGACCACTTCACAAAATATCTCACGAGTAGCAGCAGAGATTGAAAATTCATCGGGCAACCTGTTACACAGTTTGAGTATTTTGCAACTCAGCTTTTCTGTTCACGCATGCAATAATACTCTCTAAAAAGTAAGAGGGAATAGAGAATGATTTTGGTAGCTGCTCTAGATTCCCTTACATTAAAATATGTTCTAATCCTTTAACGTGGGAGGTCTCTCTTGTTTTATTTTTATTTTATAGCAATTAAAATTATTATTTCATTGAATGTAGCATACATGAAACATTTATTCTTCAGAACTTCCGACGTGGGGAGACTCTATCACTCATGGTCTCCCCCGCATTATTGGGCTACATTCTAAGATAAAAAGAGCCTGTAAAAGCGCTTTCCTGCATAGAAAAACATCATAAGTGTTGTTCTTTAAATGTGCGTAAAAAGTTGGTTCGTTCTTGCAATAAGCAGCTCAAGTTGTCTCTCGGACGTCCATTTACAGTCACAGTTAGCACTATCGTCCTTTTAGATGTACCTCGCACAAAACTTCCTGACGAAGTGGTGAGTGTATTTATCACGTGAATTATTTGACAACTATGATGACCTGACGAATGCAAATAGTCCAAGACGTTAACACCCATCAAGCGTTTTGTACTAACAGCTTTGTTGCCACATGATACGGCTGAAAGTAAACTCGAGGAGGTTGCATCTAGCTAGAGATCATTCTTATCGACAAGCAAAACTATCTGAAAGTGTAGAAATAAAGAGTGGAGATTCAAAATATGGTGAGGGTTATCTATTATCAGCCGGCGGACCGATTTTTGAAATTAATGGACAGAGCGATAGACAAAAAAAATATTGATAGTATGGGGTGATCCTATTAGAAAAAACGGGTGGTTCTCATAGATTACATAATATACTATCCGTAGGGTATCTTGTGGGTTGGTCTTAGTTAGTCTGTTACTTACCTCCTTTGTCTATTGCAACCACCCACTACCACCGATAGGATCGCGCTCAATGTGCCTTATATCTTCTCAGTCTACCGCTTTATCTATCAATTTTAATAATCAGCCTGCTGTTGTAGATTGTTCAATGGTTTCTCTTATTCAACGGGAAACCAGAGGCTCCAGAGTATATACTAATTTTACTTAAATTCACTGACTGGATGGCTTTTTTCGGTTCCGCTGTTGAATCCTGAGTTTTTTTTGCAAAGGTGCAGTCATTTTAATGATGTTTCCACACCCTCAGATGCCCAAGCCGGGTCAAATTGAATCGATGCTGGCTAAGAACACGGGCCCCGCCGGTTGTATGAGGCCCTTACAAGCGAGCTTTAGATAAAGGTTTGCAAATCCATCTTAAAAAAATAATCAGATATCAACTTGAAAAAAGAAATAATCGAGAATCAACACAGCCGAGGACGGGAGAGACGTAATTGGCCCTCGTATTTTAACTTTTCGCCCGAATCCGAGTGACAACTCATTAGCAACCTAGAGCGGAGCATTGCGAGTTTACGCTTCGGGCCTTCGCGCCTTCAATTTTGCAGATGCAGCACGGACATCCATCAAGTACGAATAGTTGTATCTCTGCGCCGTCGTGAACGCGCATCCTTTCCATTCCTCTATTTCCATATTGTGTTCGTCTCCGTTTGTCTTATTCATAATGGTGCTTCAAGCAGTAATTGAGTATCACAGCCGAAGGTAGGAGAGATGTGTTCGGGCCTCTTTTTTAACTTTTCTCCTGAATCTGAGCGACACCTCATGAACAGCATATAGCAGAGCATTGCGAGTTCACGCTTCGGGCCTTCGCGCCTTCAATTTTGCAGATGCAGCACGGACGTCCATCAAGTACGAATAGTTGTATCCCTGCGCCGTGGTCAACGCGCGTCCTTTCCCTTGCTCTTTTTCCATATCGTGTTGGTTTCGTTTGTCTCGTTTTGTAGTGGTGCTTCAAGGGCTGTGTGAGCATCACATCTGAAGATAGGAAAGGTGTAACCCTGTCTCGTGTTTTAACTTTTCTCCCTGATCGGAGCGACACCTCACCTGCAGCATGAGTGGAGCAATGCAATCACGCTTGCATCACGCCTCACGCTGTCGCGCCTTCAATTTTGCTTACTCAAATTGGACATCCACCAAGAACGAATATTTGTACCACGCTGAGTCGTATCCTATTTTTGAAATCAAGAAAAGCCTCGGTTAAGTTTGGTAAAAACTTGCTATGATGTGCCCAAATCAATAATCATTTTGTAAGAAAAAAAAATGCTTAAAGGTCTCTCAAACGCCCCGAAAGGGCTCACCTCTGCAAATTGGTATGTTGGCGAGAGGTGTGTGAGGTTTTTTTAGTTTTTTCTTTATTTTTTTTTATGACTACACCTAGAAATCCCAAGGTAGGTCAATTTGAACAGACTATCTCTTTTCTTCTATCTAAATCCTTTAGAAATGTCTGTTATCCCCTGCTTCATGCATGACATACCATGGTCACGTCTCAAAGGCCGACGATTCCTCAGGAGCCCAGTTGCAAAAAAGGACTGGTAGGCACTACCGTTAGTTATTCTGGCGTTTCTCGCCCCATGTATCATTCTAACGACGAGCGCATGTCTAATTTTAACCTGAGTGGTTAGATTTGACGCTCCCAAATTGACCGAAGAGAATGTATGAAAAAAATCAAACCGCTCGATGGTGGTGAACATCGGGGCAACAC